AATATGAAACAAGTAAGCTCATGCCATACACTCCTCCCAAGCTTTTTCACCACATGAAGGCAGCGGTCAAGTGCTCTAATACAAAACACAGGACGTGACAGACTTGTAATCTTGACCACAGTCTCGACTTTCTTTCTTTCCCAGGCAGTGACTCCAGAACAGCGTTGCAGAACTGACTCAGTGAAACAGTGCCCACTGACACGTGAAAGGCCGTCTAAAGTGCCTGCAGTCTGCTTCTGAGCTTTGTACAAGCAAGAGGGGAAACATAGGTAGATGTAGAAAACCCTACAGATGTGAAGTAAGGGAGGTGTTAACCACAAGCAGGCCTTTCTTCAGCAAGTGCATGTCAGTTACAAACAGCAGGCTGGAGTCACTACATACAAAAAGTTATATACTATAATACTTGCACTCTGCAGGTATCAGCTACACCAAACCTCAGTGTAACCCTAATAACTTGGGAACGTCAGTGCAGCAGCAGCGACTTTGCAAGGAGCTAGACTGTGTTTCAAAGCGGACTTTTTGTACAGCACTGCAGATTTCAGCAGCAGGGAGCAGCAGTGAATAGTCAAACAGTGTTCTTGCCTCAGTGGCTCATTCAAACTGCATTTCCTTCCTCCCACTTCCACTTTTCCAAGGCTGGCTTTGATTCTTAGAGTGGTGACACATGACTCCTAGACTGAAAGGAGACTAAATCATTCTGAACCAGTCTGTTCACAGGTAGTATAGAAAGATCACCGACAACAACAAATTATAAAGCTGATGTATTAAATCCTGTTAAGTGCAGGGAGTTGACCTGCAGGTACCTCTTACCTGTTCCAAATAGCAAAAAATATGGCATTTGAAGAATGGTTGCATTTCACTGTAACAGTAGCTAACATGATGCTGGCTTTGTAACATGCTTTAGCATGTTAAATCTGCTCTAAAAATAACATTAATAGAGAAATTTAATTAGCTTAATTCAGTGCTGGAAAAACATCCCCAAACCTGCCCTTGATTAAAAATAAGACAGAGCCTCACACAGTCACAGTATAATCCATTTATTAGCATACCTTGTGAGCCATTAGTGTTGATCCAGGGGACGTGAAAGTTTTGGCACTTGACTGATGTCAGGGGCACTCAGCCCCTGGTTAGAAGAAAGGGATTTTAACAGAACTTAGTGGACTGCTACACAAGTGAGATTTTCTTCTTGATGCAGGAAATTAAATACTTTTCTAGACAAGTAAATACACAGCCTGAGAGATGTGCATTGGTCTGTCTGGGTCACAGTGCCCCGTTCCACAAGAAGTGGTCCCAAGCTGGTTACCGCCAGAGGCCATTCTGTTCCCTTCAGCTGCAAGAAACTCCCAGTGAATCTGTCAAAATGGTGTTAAATACCACAGCACAATTCATCTCTCAAAAGCTTTCATCTCATTGCTGAATATACACATAAAAATCTATCTTGAAGTGGTTGATGGGTCACTGCAGCTTTTTGGGGGGTGAAAAAACTTCAGGATATTGACTTCATAGAGAAAAGCAGACAGACAAAAGGCAGGCCCACCTCTCCTACCCTTAAGATAGCAAATATCTGTGTTCCCTGTTCCTCACCAATGCCTCCACTAATACCTTTGAGAAACTGATCTGTTATTCTCTGCGTACATGGATTACAAGGGTAATTGACATTTTGCCCAAGTTAATAAACAGCTGCCTGATTAATTACAGCATAGAACATCATATAAACCATCATATAAACATTGTATAAACCATCAGAACAGTGTTCAGTTACAGAAAAGGGATAACTCTTTAATCCAGCTTCAGAGGGCCAAAGCCTGGACTGGAGTCAAGACAGGGCTGCTAAAGGTAGCAGTGCAGGCACTGCAAGTCCCGAAGACACCAGCGCTGGGTGTTCCTCAAAGAAGTATACCTGGAGCACTAATAGCACTAATAGTAGCCGTGTTTCTACTCCTGCCAATGCTCCCAGCCAGTCATAGTGACATTCCCTTTCTCACATAACTAGCATGTGCCACAGTGCTGTAGGAAGCCGTCTCATAGCATCCATGTGCCATAGTGCAACCACCAGCAGTAGTGCCTGAGCTCTCAGCTCCTGGAAATAGTGTATATGCATTAGCCTTATCCAATGAACTAATGCTGTATAGAAGGACTGTGTCACCCCTACAGGTATGTCAGCCAAGGCAAAGCTCTACGTTCATGTGCTTCCTGCCCAGAGCTGCATTACTCTCCCCAGCCACACCCACGGCAACTGCTCTGAGCTCAGCCGCTGCCCAAGACCCAGGGAGAATTAACCTTAGCAGGTTTTCATCGCGTTGTAGGTAGGCTGCTACCAACACCACACTAGCAAGTTTAGAGCTAGCTCCAGCATACATACATAGTACACATACAGCACTAAAATCACTTACAGCATTACCTAGTATACAAAATGACACTGAAAATAATCAGCAGATGGCACAGCCTCCCCTGGCAAACTGCATTCAGTTCTGGTTACCAAAGCTTAAAAGGTACAGCAGAAAGAGAAGACATGAAGAGGCAGTCATCAGGTTATCAGATACCTAAGCAGTTTGGCTTGAAGAGAGACAGAGAAGCCACGGTTTAAAAAGGGATTATCTCTAGAGTGATGGACAACAGAGAATATAAAGCCAGGCCCCTTATTTCCTCTCGTAGCTGAGAACACAAGGACAGATGGGATTCAATGAAAAAAAAAAAAGGCAATTAATTCAGGAACCATAAAAAGAAATTATGTGCTATGGAGAATAAAATTATATTGGTTCTTATTGCCAGAAAAATACTGAGGCTTAGAGCTTAGTTGGATTAAATAGGGGATTAAGCATTTATATGGAAGATGAAGGCTGGTTACATTAAATATATTTTTTTAAGTTAGGGATATAAACTCTCATGCTTTAGGAAAAAAAATAATCACAACAGGATAGTGCATAGGGTTTGTGTAACACCTGAAGGACTAAGTACTTGTACTTCTGTTTTTAATGGTGATAATAGTAATGCAAGTAATTAATTTAAATGGGCCAAGAACAAATTTCCCCAAAAGGAAAGGCTATTAAAACTTGTTCAGTACAAACTGACACATACAATCCCTTAAACATCTGCTGCTGGCCAACATTAGGTACAAAATACAGTCCTAGGTTGGGTGCCACTTATGCAGGCAGTTCCAATAAGCCTTGGTGGCAAAGTATGTGAGTTTGGTTTGGGCCACAGTCCCAGTTTAAACAGTAAAGAGAAATAGCAGTGCTCTGAAACAGGTTGAGACAATTGACAAGAGTATTGGCAGGCTTGCCTACAGTACCAGTAATGTGTAAATGTAGAGACTGGATACTTCCTTCCCTCTTTCTGGCTCATGCAGGACTCAAAGGATATTAACTATAAGTATTCTCACAGCTTCCACAGTGACAAGATCTCAGAGAAGGAAACATTTTGAACTAGAACATGGGAATTCCAGAAGACAGTGCCAAGCCTGCATCTCACTTGTGATTACACGGTAATTTATTCTAATTCCTGAATGGCAACCAGCTAAGTAGGCTTAGGGAAATAACCTCATAGTTTCAACCCTTCAGATGCTTCTGTGCCTGTTGGAGTTATAGGTATAAATTGAAAGATTAAACCAGGGTAAACTAGAAATGTGACAGCACCCAGGGCACAGAAACTCCATTTGAGATGCTGTAGCATGCTGGTCTGGGGAGCCTGAAGATAAGAGCTAAATCACTCCATGTTTCCCAGACAAGTACTGTTACTGCTGGTGTTGAACTTGGCATTTAATCCTCTGCAAGACCAGAGGTGTGTGGCATAATTGCCCTCAGTCCTCCTGTAATATTAATTCTTGGGAGGTAAGGAGCAGTCTGCAGCTTGTGTCTTAGGGACTTTGCCAGCAGCTGTAGGACAACACAGCCAGTGTGGAGCCAAGCACAGCCCTGCCAAAGGATCAAGCCTGGCACTTCAGTTAGGGTTATCAGCACAAGCTGCACTGCAGACTCTCCGCCATTCGAGAAGCGGCACACACAGATCTGATCTGTGCCAAAGCCAGTTTGCAGGGATTTTGGCATTGCGTGTTTTAGGGATTCCTACAATTCTTTTTTAAAAGAAAGTTTCCAAGAAGGCTCTTTAAACATTCCATTGCAGCAGGTAACCCAGTTATCCTATAATCCCTGGAAAGAGTAAATGGAACTGTTTAGCATTCATACACAAAAATTAGCCACCTAGCCAGGTCAGCACCTTTACATAAAGCTGTCTTATAGAAGACAAGTTAAAGCTTTAGGCAATTACTGCTTATTGAATCCAAAGCGATTTCTAGGACTCTGTCACCACGTGTCCTGTAGCATGACTTTGTTAATCCACAGGCTGTTCTCTGCCTCCTGTTCTTACCTTGGTAATACCTAGGTACCAAGCACCTCAGTGCCTCTGAGCTCAGACCTTCCAGGCAGCAGGCCAGTGCCTGACCCAGTCATCACCTACTTTACAGTGCATGAGTGAACCCAAAACATGCACATCATGACAAGTTCTGCATGTCCCATCCTGTATTACTACTCTGTGTTCAAGTCTTTGGTTATACATCAAAGCTTACTGCCCTTGCTCCTGAGCAGACCTGTCTCCTCTCTGGCTAGTCTACACACAGAGAGAAGACACTGAGCACTGCACAACTCTTAATGCACTTAGCCCTTCTGCCTAGTTTTGTATTTTCTACCCACTCGAGAATAATAACTTACAAGAGTGCTTAAGGCCTAAGAGGAAACTCTGCTCATTTGTTTGAATGGGAGGGAAGGAAGAAATTGAAGTATTCAAGAACACCTGCTTTCTCTCAGGATTATTTCTGCCCAGGCTGGGAACTACAGCTTGATGGCAGTATTCGCATAGCCTCCAGTTAAGCTGCTTTACCCCCGCTGAGGGGAATGAAAAAGGAAACAGTGCAGAGAAGAGTAGAGAGGAAGCATAGAAGCATAGCCCAGAGGTTGCAAGAATAAGACACACTTTGGGAAAGCGGGAAGCTGCTTTGCAGGAGTGAGTAACTTGCTTGAGGTGCATCTGTACCACGGGAGTATTTCTGTATTTCATGGGAGAACTGTGAGCACAGAGCTATTAAAGACTAACATCACAAATAAAGGGCAGCTAAGATGAATGAAGTATCAAGAGAAAGCTGCCGCAGTGCTGTTAAACAGTGATTCAACACCTGAATGTTTGAGATAAACATTACATTTGGATTTAAAGTAAAAGAACATGTCTATTCAGCCTTTTGAGGTCACAGTTTTAAGTTCTTTGTAGTAAACACAAGGGCAAGAAAGCTACTGTCTCCTAAAAAATTAAGATTTACTCTTACATGAAAAACTGATTCTAGGAGATGCTGCTTTAAGAAAAAAAAAAAACACAAAACAAACCAAAAAACAACTAAACCTAATGAACACAAAAGAAACCACTATATTGAGAAAGTAGCAATAAAACCATAGCATCTGGCAGCTGGAAACATGTGATAGAGGATTACAGAAGGAGGGACAAGCATCTTTTAGCAGGGAAAGATACTTTAAAGGGATCATATGGGAGCAGATCTACTATTCAGAAAAGAAAAGATTCACCCTTGAGACATAACAGAGAAGGAAAAGACCCAGCTGTTGGCCTGTTCCTCAGCTCAGCTTAAATCTCTGATTCTCAGAATTGGAGAACTGTTACAAAAAGAAAATCTGAAGATTTCAGCTGTGCCGGAGCCTGGTGCCGTCTTCCGAGCATCTCATGTCTGCTTGCAGCATTTTTCAGCTGTGCAAACATGCAAACCCCGGAACAGATTTACAGAGGCAGGTATCTCTCCACTTACACATTTCTGCGTGCAGGGCAACAAGTGTGATTGCGTTACAGGACTCAGGTAGTCAGAGCAACATAGACTTATCATTCTTACCAGTGAGCACTTGCTTTCTCTGCTCAGAGATCACAGACTAAAGTGAACCAAAGACTTTGCAGAATCAGCTGTAACTGTTTTTCTCCCAGTTCTACATGAAAGTCTTTCATGAAAGTCTTTTCCCAGTGTCCAGTCTCCACCAGCCACAGGCCAGGAGCCACAGCCTTCCGCTGCTGTAGGGCAATAGGGCCATATGTTGAAGTTCCTAGAGCTCAGACATTGTCATTTTAGCTTGGTCACTCTCTTGATCCAGGGTACATATTTGCTGACCTTCGTGTACACACCAGGGGAATCTTTCCGACCACAGCCATAACCCCAGGAGGTGATCCCCACAATGACCCAGCGCCCGTTTGGCCTCTGGCACATGAGTGGCCCTCCGCTGTCGCCTTGGCAGCTGTCCACCCGCTTGTCTTCAGAGAGGTTCCCAGCACAAATCATGCGGTTCGTGAACTTGTGCCCATAGCGGGCCTCACAGTCTTCCCGTGGGAGAAGAGGCACCACCCCCTGCAGCAGGGTTCTTGAATAGGACTTCCCTGGAACAGAACAGAAGACTGTCCAGACCAATTCACATTCAGACAACAGCAGCGACCTAGAGCAAGGGTGCTCCACACAAAAAAAGGTACTTGTACATTTCATGTCAAGGCTATGGCACAGGAATAGGCGAAGCTCAGCATCTCTGAACAACCAGAAAGTCACAAAACAGTGCTGCCAAGCCAAACCACAAGAAAGAGCTGTAAGATCAAAGAAATGGGGAAGACGTTGGAGAAAAAGGTTAGATCAAAGGATGAGTCTTACTCCTAGTTATGACAACAAGTAACTTGAACCTTGTTCAATTTATTTCACTTTCTTTGAGCCTCCATTTCCTCCTCTGTAAAACAAGGGCAGTGTTTCCTCAAGAGAATAAATGCAGTAATATTTGCTAAGTGCTCAGTCCTCAGAGAAGCTTTGGAAGATGCTTCAGAAGCATCTAAATATTATTCAAAGGGAGTTCACTTCATCTTTGGCCAAATTTGTCCCAATTTGCTTAAATCTCTTACATGGTTCACATGCTATATTAGTGTAAGACCTTTCTGTGTCCAAGCTTTATGGTAAGCTCACAAGGTAGTGGGTAACTGCCCCTCTCATTGGGATAGCAGGTTTGGTGTGTGCAAGGGATTCTGGCCATTAAGCGCCAGTGCAGATTAAGGGAGTTGTAAGGCTGAAATGTACCTTGATCCTCCACTGACAGGCCAAAGCGATGTGTGCACTTTGTGCAACTGACTCTGAAGGCACATGTATACTTGCAGTTGAACACTTGGGGTAACAGCTAGGGAAACAGGTGGGAAGGATGGGTAGGTCCAAAGTCAACAGACAAGCTCCTAGGGGCTATTTGCCTCTTGGCAGTATGTCTTTCTTAACACATGGCTTTGCTCCCATCACAGCAGCCCCAGAAAGGCCTCCTTGCTCCAAGCTCTGCATTGCATCTCTGATCCTCAAATGAGGGGAGACTGGACAGCTGGTTATAAAGTTTTGTTTAGAGTTTAAAGCTGTCTGCAGACCTTGCTAATGTATCCATTTAAGGACTCCACCAAGCCCAGAATTTTGAAACATCACCTTTAGAAACTTAAGTATTTAATAATATTTAATAATTTAATCTTCCTAGAAGATTTCCTGCTCCCTTTTACTTAGGAAACTCCATAGCAATGTGCTGCAAGAGGACAGGTTCAGGCTGTCTCAAACTTTGTGCAAAAGCCAGCTTCAGAGCTCAGCTGTCCCTGCAGCAATATCCAGGGAGATAGAGCAAGGTAGTCTAACAGAGATCCCTTCCACCTCTTAAGCCTCCACTTCACTATGACAGTACCATGAAGAAGGCAGGAGGTGATGGAAACATGGCAGCCTCCATAGGCTTTGTATGGCTCTGCACAGGCTGCTGTCTAAGGGGTCTGCTGTGGGCCAAAATGTATGTAAAAAGGGGAAGAAAAAGAGGACTGTGGCCAGATGGCAGCATTACTCTGTCCCACAGTTTCAGAGGGATGCTATGGCAACCTGAACTTCCACCTTAGGCAGGCTCAAGAAGCCTCAAAATCAGAAGAAAGCACAATGGCACAAAAATCACCTCCCCACTCCTTAACACCATGCACTAGCACAGACAAATAGGAGCAGTAAAAACATGGCCTTGAGTTGTGCAGACATAAATTAATGGCCCATGTAGGCTTCTAAACCCAGACTCTGACACCTTTCTTGCCAGTTAAAGCTGCCTCACTCACCTGTGTCTCCCCAACCAGAGATGATGCAGGCTTGCCTGTTGATGTCAGACTTCTCTTTCCTGTCAGGCAGGCAGACAGGCAGAACGTGGTGATTGAAGGAGAGACAGTGCCCCTCTCTGCCCCGCATTCGGACCAAGGCAATGTCGTTATCATTGCTGCCAGCCCAGTAGTTCCTGTGGAGGACTATCCGCTCCACGGGCAGCTCCCTCTCAAACTCATCCTTCACACCCGTGTGGTAATCACCCACCCGCAGCAGGTAGCGCCGCACATCAACACCAAACCTGAAGAAACAGAGACGCACGTTCTTGATGCTCCTGCTGAGAAGGAAACAGACTCACACAAGTCTCAGTTGCTGTGAGGCTGATCCACCTCCTCACAACCTGAAAAGACACTGTGGCACATCTTTGGTAGATGTTATAATGCCAGCTGTTGCAGTCAATGGGTGACCCAAATCGCTCTCTACCATGCATAGGAATTTTTTTCCTATAAAAAGGGCTACAATACTTGCAACAGGCTTGTGACCTCATTTGTTCACAGTTCCTTAAAGCACCAAAGAATGGCAAAGTGCTGGTTCACTTTAAGTGGTGAAGCCTCAAAGTTAAAAGGGAGCCTATCCTGAGTCATCCCCATAAATGCTTCAAGATTCCACACATCGTAACTCAAAGGTCTTGGTTTAAGAACTTTGCTCATGGGCTAGAAGGATAACCTTGTACAAGGTTATCTTGCTCATCACCGAGTATCCCTTGGGGCTCCCCACCCACAAACACACCTTTTGAAGCAGTGGGCTGCAGTCACTACCCAACAGCTGCTGATCAGGGTTGCTCCGCACAGCAGACGAGTATCTCGATGAAAACCCTTCAACCGCAGTGAGGCCTGCCATGGCCAACTGCCTCTGAACAAGAAACAGAGGAATAGCAGGTGTCACACACATGGGAGCTGGTTTCCTCTTTTCCTATCCACTCTGCCCCATCTGGGCTCAGCTGGTGTGAATTCTTCCCTAGATAGACCCACTGGTTCAAATTAAGTTCAAAAATGACCAGTGAAAACGTGTTGATGTATTTAGCATTTACCAGGCTATTTCCAGAGCCTGTAGGGAAGCTGGAACGAGTTCTGGCTTTCCTAGCAATTACAAGTAGTACCTGAGGGACTTCTTTCCACCTATGATCCTTTTCTTGCGACGGTGAAGCAGGCGCATCCCGCACACACCAGACTCTGGACCTGCACAGCAAAGTTAGAGCCGTTGGGTAGGTACCTTCAGCTTAAGCATGAACAATTGCTGTCACAGAGCCAAACACCATTCACCTTCCCCAAGAGACTTAATCCTCATTGTAGTTGATTCTGTTGTGCTGTGCATATGGAATTCGTAGTAGATTTGATCCCATAGGTTTCCTCAGTTTTGGTGGAGGTGCTTACCAGCAGCACCTGTAGTCTTGTGCAAGGAACTGGACCTCTACAGCTATTTCCTCGGTACCATAAACCCCAAAGTTGCTCATGGTTAATGCTCTAAGGAAGGGTATGGTGACTTGGCTGTGGGGCATTTCAGCAGGCTCAAAGGCCTGACATAAGTGGTGCTCCTCCAACTAGTCTGGAGCACCCTATGCTCCTAAGAAGAGACAACAAAACCAAGGATAAAGTAGGAGGTGCAGGACAGGACATGCTTAATTGTCAGCCAAGGGTAAAAGGTAAAAAGCATAAAAGGTAAAAAGCATAAAAGCATGCATAGATCCTACAGCTGGAGCTGCAGATTTCTGCACAGAAGAAATGGGCATATCACCTGTTCTCCTGATACCTTGCACCTTCTCTTCCACATAGTCACAGATCACACCAGCATCTTCACTGTGCCAGCAGCTGTGAATCCCTGTGTCAGGCCTCACACATTGCCCCAGGGTGTGCTCCGTGCCTCTGCATTCTATGTTGTCCAGATGGATGGGTCCATGGCCTTCACCAAAATAAGCCATTGCCCTGGCTTTTGCTGTACCACTGCAATTAGAGAGAGGGTGGCTAATCAGCAGTAGGCAGGTGAACCTGATGCACCAGCACATTTTAAGAGAAATAATATTTATGTGTCACTACACACAGACAGTAATTCAGTAAGAATATGACCCTACTCCCTCAATATGGGAATATATGGGTATGCCAAAACTAAGAAAGGAAGCCCCCAGAAACTGGTTCAGAGAGAAGTGATCCCCCTGAGAGTTGTTTCTGTCTGTATGATGCATGCACCAAAGCTCTCACCTGAATCCCAGCTGCCTGCAAACCACTGCAGCATCTCTGTCTGTCCAGCCATCATCACAGACACTGCCCCACTGCCCATTCAGGAATACCTCAACTCGTCCCTCCTTGGTGCTTTCTCCATCCATGAGCCGCACAGGAGGTCCTGCAGAAGAATACACATGGGTGACTGCGAGCAAAGCCACCTGAGAGTGTGAGGTGCCCAGAACTTGGGTTCTATAGGAAAGGATGAATCCAAGGTACCAGTGAGCTTAAAAAAAAACACCAAAAAACAGGAGAAGAGAAAAAAAAAAAAGAAAAAGAAAGGAGTGTTTCTATATGAAGACATTTCAGCTCTGCACTGAATCAGAAGACTGCGTACATGTTAATTTAATACATACTGGAAATCATTAGTGGATCATATTCTGAAAGCTGAGTAAAGAGGAGAACAAGAACAGAAGGAAAGTTATTTAATCCTGAGCCAAGAGTGGGCAAGCTTAAACATGCCCAGGAAATAAATACATTAAATTATAAAACTATTACATTACCCTAAGCAAGAGAAGAGTTCTCCGTTCAGGAGAAACAAAAATGTTGGATACCATCTATTTCAGTAAAAATGGCTGACAAACTCAAAAGTCTCCTGTATTAGGGAAGGGGGAGAGTATCAGGCCACATACAAATGAGGAAATTATGCTAATCAAAATATATTCACAATTTTAACTAAAGTGTGACATCCACACAAGAGAGCGCAAATTTCCACACAACAGCCCCTCACATCTGAAGTCTTCTTGTCTTGGCAAGGTGCAACACTAACTACACCAGTTACCTACACCAGGGCTAGTTAAAGGGGTCCCATGTTCCCACAGGCATGGGGCTGAGGAATCTCATCAGTAAGCAATGGCACACTAAGGCTGCCACCATCTCTCAACCCCTCAGGTTTGTTTTGGAGACTGCCAGTTCTCTCCAGTTTCAGTTTCTCTGCTGGGCTGGCAATAGGTCTGGTGGAGCCACAGCTCTGCCCCAAAACAGCCAGGGTGCATTCCTAAGAGTCCTCCTCAAAAAGCAGCCCCCCCATCTCCCACATCTGCCAGACCTTCCCAAGGAACAGGCCACCAGGTGACACTTCCCCACCGCCCAGGGCAAGAAGCAAAGCGAGTTACCCAGGCTGTCATCCATGACTGTGTTGCTCTCCAGGGAACAGCGGACTCCCACATCCTCAGCGTGTGAGCAGTCATGCTGCCCCCAGTTGCTGTGGGGACAGTCCAGGAGGGACAGCTCTGTCCCCACACAAGCCACATCATCCAGTAAGATAAAGCCTTGGCCAGCAGCATAGTCCCCTTCAGAGGCGAGGGTAGCAGGACCACTAGAGGAAGGAAACATGAGATCAGATTCATGAAAACTCATTAATCTCACAGAGGGAATTAGACACAAGCTTAGACTAAAAGGGAAATTCCCCTGCAGAGCTCAGCTGTGATATCAGTGTCTTCCTGACCTAAACCACTCAGTGACGCAGAGAATGGCAAACAAGGAGCTTGCATATCTCACCAGCTTCAGCTTTCAGGAAGGCCTGCTCAGACCAGTCCATTTTCTAGTGACTGGTCAAAGGCACAGTAGCACAACGGGCCAGCTATACCACAGAGGCTGCCTTGCAAATGTGACACCAGGTCTGTCAGTTTGGAGAGGGGCTAGCAGAGGAGGCGTCAGAAATATCAACATTTAAGTAGTTCCCCTTCTTTTTATAGGAAGCAGCTACCTGGAATTGCAATTTTAGGCACTGTGGGAGATTACACAGTATGCAGCTGAACTGAAAAGGCAGAATTTAGTTGAGTCTTTTTTTCAGTCTATAAAGCTGAACTTTTATAATCATACTTAAAAAAATCCACAAAACACCTCTAGTGGCTCCAAGACTACAGTATCCTGATCTTAAATCTTCTTCAAGCTCATACCTGGAGGAGTGACCTTCAGCAATGGACTGAAAGAAAAGCATTATGAAAATCCCTAATACTACTCTTTTTTTGCCCTGATACGTTCAGGTGCCAAAGCAGGTGATGTGTTCAGCTGACAGAACAGGTGGGTGATACTGTTTAGTGACAGAGCAGAGGTGGCAATGCTGAGCTGATACACCTGCAAATTTAAGAAGTGTTGGGAGAACTTTCTGACTTTGGTGAGGGGTTTAGAAAGACAATATCGAGCCTGTTATCTGCTTCCAAACAGGCTGAGGCAGGAGTTTATACAGTTTGGTGATTTTTTTCCCCTCGGAAAGGATGTGGATACCTATTAATTTTTCTTGAATAAAGCTGCATAATGGGTAATAAACCTTCTAACAAAGACAGCATTGAAGGATTAAGGTCCAGCCTATCCCAGTGAAGGGTGATGGAATCTAATCCTTGAAATGAGGAAGCACAGACACTACACACACTCTCAGTCCTACCTGAAGCCCAGCTGCCTGCAGACTACCTGGGCACTGAGGTCTGTCCAGCCGTCATCGCACACTGTGCCCCAGTCTCCATTGTAATAAACTTCTACCCTGCCTTCACTGGGGCTGCGGCCACCAGCCAGCCTGATGGTGCCCTCTGCAAGGGATGGGAGAAGGAAAGGTCAGTGCTCAGCAGGGGAGAAAAGCAGCAGCCTGTGCCCCACTACTGAGGTCTCTTTACAGCCCACGAATGAAATAAACCCGAGACACAGATACCCGTGGGTATGCAAAAGGCAAACATTCATTGCTCCCCAACATGCCTGCTTGTCAGTGAGGATTCACCTCAGCCTTTCCATACCACCTTGGTGGAAAGAAAGCCATGGGAACACCACCAAGCCTGTCTCTGACCCATTCCCACCTGCTGTTTGCTCTCTGCTGTCACAGGTGGCAGCTATACGTAGAATCCCTGCAAGATCCTGAGGCAGGGGGATTATCTGCTAAGCAAGCCATGTAATACGGGAGTAAGATTGGCTGCATCTGACTGGTATAGAGCTGTAGATCTGTACCTGTGAAAGGGTCACAGGAGACCCCAGCGTCTTCAATGTGGTCACAGTTTTGCTGTCCCCAGTCACTCTTCTTGCACTGGTCAAGTGAGAGTTCATTGCCTGAGCATTCCACTTCATCCAGCAGGATTGGGCCAGATCCCTGCCCATAGTGAGCCCACGACAAAGCTTTTGGGTTCCCACTGCAAACATTACAGACACATATGCTCAGTAAGGAAGGTCACAGCCTCATGCCCTCACATTCTGCCTTGCACAGGGACTCTTGCTACACTAGGTCAGTGTCCTCTCATAGCTAATTTGTTTTTCTGGCACAGTGGCGTTTCCAGCTGTTAACTGAAATACACTACTGGGAAGTTTTGTAATGAGACCTCCAAGCACATAGCAAAAATGTGGCCGCAACATGAACAGTTCAGACACCTGGGGAGCTCTGAGGACAACCAGTTTTCAATCTCAGTAACAGGCAAAACTCCCAAACTTTGAGGGATCTCAAACTTGAATTGTCTATTTTAAACAATTCTGTACTGAGGTGATTTTCAGGAATGCCCAGCATACAACTCTCATGTTAGGCATTGAATTGCACACAGGAGAATGAGGTGCCATTACACAGAGTGATCAGCCCAGAATTATCTTTCCCAGGGTTTCTGTATACCTCCTATAGAAAGGACTGGTACTATAGTGAAGGGAGATGCTCTCACGTTCCTTGTTCTGTTTACTTCTAGGACCACTCCTTGATATACAGCAGGGAAATTACCTGAGTCCCAGCTGCCTACAGACTACTTCAGCATCCCGGTCATCCCACTGGTCATCACAGATGGTACCCCACTTGCCATCATGGTAAACCTCCACTCGTCCTTCAAAGCTCTCCTTTCCCCCAACTAAACGCAGCGGGGCATCTACACCTGCGCTTCAAGAAGGGGAAACAGAGCACAACAGAACAAGACAGAGACAAAGCATATCCAGCAGTTCAGGGTGCAGAACCATTCATCAGCCAGAGGAGCTCCTGGGATGCTCAAGTCCCACCCTCCTCTCTAGATCCCACAGACGCATCAGTGATTGCAGCCCACAGTAAGGGGCTGCTTCGGGGACGGCTCTTTAACTGGCTGCTACAGTGACTAAGACTTTGCTGCCTGCAGACAAAATCCTGGTTTGATGAAAATGGGATGTGGGCATAAGCAGCAGCCATCTTTCAGTGGCTTTAGAAGTATGCCCACTCTGAGTGTTTGGGATTGGGAAAGGATGGATAAGTTTCCCCTGGAAGGAAGATAACCACCTGTACAGCAGGTGAAAGAAGAACATGCTCCAATGATTTGCTCACCATAGCTTCACAACCTTACATTTCACATTTTATCAGCAACACTGGACGCAAGAAACAGGGAGTGAACCTTCCCTGGAGATTTACCTTCTGGAGGGACACAGGTTGCCATGGCACTCCCCTGCTTACAAACTCCTGACACAGCTTCCCGGTAGCCACACTCCAGCAGGGCTTTCTCATCCCCATGGCAGTTTGCTGACTGCAGGTGCAGGGGAACAGGCCACAGTCCAGGGTGACTCTTCTTCCCAGCTGAGCCGATCTCACTGGTACAAAGAACACAACAGAGGGATGAAATGCCATAGTGCTGCTCGACTCACCAGTTCCCCTCAGTTCCTGTGACTCTGCAGTCCAGTTGTGCCATTTCACATCCCACTGAGCCCAGTTGATCGGGATGCATAAAGGGGTGGCATTTACAGTTTAATGGGAAAGCACAAACAAGCACAAAGCACTTCCCTCCACCTAACCCATTCTGTGTTCCTACTTAAGGCAGAAGAGCTGGTTTGATCAGAAATGGCCCCCTCGCTTGAGAGCGATGAACAAACCCATCAACAGATTCAAACATCCAAATATCTGAATTAACGTCTTCCTTCTCTGTAGACCTTATCTCCTCACTATTTGGAAGTCTGAAGGTCCAAATCCCGGTTTCCCAAAGACAGTTCACACTCTCAAAACTTCTATTAGATCACTACAGTAACTCCAGCTGGTAATACTAAAAAGAGGGTACGATCTCACACCTCACTCATCGCAGTCTGGAGCACCAAGCAGACACTACTGCTTTAAAGAAATCTTGCAAATGCTGTTTGGGTTTAGCATAGCTGCAGAAATAAAAAAACAACAGTATGAAAGGACCCTGGTAAATGGGAAATGAGTCCACAAAACCAACTCCTCTCCCCCAGCCAACACACTATGCCAGGGAGACTGTAACCGCAGAGCCTGATCTTTCAAAGGCTACATGAGCAGTAACTCTCGCAACCAGACTGAGGTTCCCACCTGAGACCTAGTTGTCTGCAGACAACACTGGCATCCCAGTCAGTCCAGTAGTCAGCACAGATGGTGCCCCAGAGTCCATTGAAGTACAGCTCCACACTACTATCTTCAGCCAATCGCACAGCACCTTCCAAAAGAGGGGAGGAAATAAAGTAAAAGCTGCTGTCTTGTGATGGAGGTTTCAGACCAGCAAGTTTTGGACTTGCACATAGCTGAGCTGAACTGCACTTAGCTTCTCTCATCCCTGTTTTGCTGTTTTGAAGGCACCTTCCTGGGTCCTGCAATCGCTGCTCGGCAGGATAGCTGGTGCTATGTTCTTTTCAAAGCCATGATAACATTGCAGGAAACTTGGCTTCTGCCACAGCTCCTGGATTCTCCTTCTGTGAAATGGGGATGATTTTACATGCTACCTTGAAAAGGTGTATGGAAATGGTAGGCTGTCTAATTCCTTTTGACACTCCACTGATTTATTTACCATCAACCACCTATGACAGTCACTGTTGCTACAGCTAGATGCTCAGTAACAGCAGGTGAATCCTCTTTAAATTCTCTAAGAAAAGCAAGTTACAAAGTAAATACCCTTTCAATTCTCACTGCACCACAAATATCTACCACAGTTTAGAAAGCACATTTCCTTGCTCAGTTATGTATTGTGAGAAGGATACACCTTGTCTGTAGTAGCTCATGCAGGCACAAAGCACAACTACACTTGTACCCCTCACTTTAATGAAGCCATCTCTGAAAGCACTTTCACTGGCAAGGGAAAAAAGACATTCATTTCACCTATTAAATTGTACTTCATCTGTCCTCTGAAACATAAAGCAAAGAAGGTCAGAAAGCAGGAGGACAAACAAAATCTTTTCAAGAACGTTGCACTGAAATCTGCGCACTGAGAGAGCTCAGCTCCTTTGCATGCCTCCAAGCAAGCTGCAATCCTTGTGTCAGCACTGTGAAGAATTCCAAAGCAAGCCTGTAACCTTACCTTGCCACAGAAGATTTTTGCTTATTGTATTTGAACAGCTACACTTACATGAGGAGAGCTCTGCTACAGGCACTCAAGAAGCCGGAGTGGGCTGTTTTCCACATAACTTAAACTGTCTCAAAGTGGCATAAGTTAAAAGTAAAAAAAAAAAGGGCTCCTTGTATGGGAATAAAAGCATCTATACATGGCATTATGGCTACAGCAGCTTAAATCCACCCCCCACTATATACAGACGTTCTTCTCCCACACAGGCTAGCCTCTAGTCCTGATTATTTCGACAATTTGGGACAGTTACTGTACTGTGCGCCTTTCACAGGGTGTCCCACCTGCTGCTTGCAAGTCTGTGCAGCACACATTTCTGCCCTGAGCCCCCAGGGCAGTGCAGGCAGGCACCGGCAGAGACACGCGGCAGCCCTTACCTTGGTTACAGTCGCAATTAGCCCAGCCGATGGCCCCTGATGCAAGCCGGTAGAAGCACCAGGGTGTAGTTCCCCCGTCCGGGTTCCTGCAGTGGTTGTGGTCCCCCAAGCCGCGGTCTGGGTACTGCTGAACATAATCGGGGAAGTCTGCCCAGTTGAGGCACTCTGCCCCAGCCTCAGTGACCGCCAGTGAACCATTGTAATACCCAAGAGGTCCAACACCACACACGCTGGATGCTGGGCAAAGGAAAGGAGCTGTTAGCGTCACCTAAGGTGTCATGCACCAAGGCTCAGACAATGTGGGAGGTTATAACTGATCTCCTGAAATACCTCCCATGTCTGCAGTCCTGACTGCTACTTGCTTGATTTCAAGTCTATCATTCTTCAAGGCAGCTGCTCAAAGAATGTTTATAATATGCACTGTCTAAACCCCAAGTTGATCTGAAAGTCATGAACTGCCCAGACAGACCTTTGAAATGTCAACTCTGGGCCCAAACATGGACAATTTGAACCAGTTTCCCTTACCATCTATTTCAATACATGTCTTCGCTTGCCCTGGAGCAGTACGTGAGCCTGGCACACACTCCTCCACTTCCTTCCCCACCTGCTTTGGCACCTGATTAAGATGCTCTTAAATGTGATCCTAGGCTCTTTAGAAGATTAGTTGCCTATCTAAATTGATTGAAACTGAGGAGAGCTTAAAATTTCATTCTACAAAGCAGGAAGGTGGGAAATGGTATTGTAGTTGTATGTTCCCTACACACATTAGCATATACCCTGGTTTATCTGAACTTGGATGATATATAAGTAGGGAAAGGGAACCTATTTGGGGGAAGTGAAGGTGCCAGTGTTCCATGCCAGTGCCCATGTGAAATATCTCATGGAAAGAAACCCCAACAACTAATTTATTATTGCCTGTCATGGTCCCTTTAACAAAAGAAGAAAACTCTCCATTCATGACCCTGAAATAAGAAAGAGGGAAACCAGAACCAGCTTCTGTGTGAGGGTGGGCTTTATAGAGTCCATAACATGGAAGAGCAGATGCAGAAAGGGATAGCGGTTACAGCTCTATTGACTACATTGGATGAACAAAAAGCGGCCAGCACTTTCAGAAAACCTTTCTGCCATAAAGACACATAGGGCAAACATTAAGGGTACAAAGAAGCTTCACCATTTGCCTTGTAGCTGCTGCCAAGCCCAGAGGGGGTGATTGACAGCTGAAGGTGAATTGCAGGGGGCAAAAATGAGAAGCAGTTACAGGTAAGCGTCTGGAAAACACACTGTGCCCTTTGCATCACACCTGGCACTCTCAGAGGGAGTGTCTGAGAATTCAGTAGTTATTAAAGCGGAGGAAAGGTGAGCATGCAAGAAAGACGAAGGCAAAGAAAGAAATTAAAGGAGAAGAACATGTGGGAGGAGTGGGGAGCTGCAAGACTAGTAGACATGAAGGAAACAAAGCGGTCTGGCCATTTTGGGGAAGGAGATAAACAAGCATTTAGGCAGGAGGAAAGATTGAAGTACTAATGGAAAGAAAGGAAGAATGCCAGGTAGCAGTTCATCGTACCTATGGTCTCAGATCACTACTGCAGGAAAGAAACTGCCTGATGACTGAATTAATAACTTCTTGTTCTTACCTGTACTCTGCAAATGGTTTTGGTTGGGCTGGGATCCCAGGAAAGCCTGGGAAAAGAAACAGAGCAAAAAGAGAAAGATGATTATCCGATGAAATAAACATGGGCATGTCCTAAAAGCAGCTCAGCATTTTGCTGCTTTAGGCAAACATGCCCTAGTAACCAGCCTCTTCCCTGCTCTCCCCATTGCTCCTCTTCAAATCCAATCACAGCTCTGCCCACTAACAGCAAAATGAATAATTACTAGCCTGCAGAGATTTACCCTTGACCACATTGCAGGGCTTGCTTTGTTCTTTTCCAATAGAATTGGGAAGTCTGAGTGAGATGCCTATGGAAAGAAAAGCTAGAAGAAAATAATTGTTACCAGTAAGGAAAATAATGAATAACCACTCATTCTCTCCCCATTTCTAGGACAAGCCATCTATGGCAACAGCAGCAAACAGAGATGTATCTATGTGATGGGATGATGCCCCCAGGGATCCCTGTTAAAATAGTAATAAGTGTACAAAGTGGGGAAACGCCTAAAGAAGAAATACAACAATGCTTTTGGGGGATTCTGGTTTTAATACATGAGAATATGATATGGCCTATGGTACTATTATCCCAATGGGGTTAAATTACTAAGAACAAAAAATATGAAACAGAGTCTTCAGAATTCCAGGATCCTGCTCAGCCCCCAAACTGTATTTCCTCTTATAGGCAGTGTTTTTGGTGGTTATAACTTGATTGCGGGCTGAAAGATAGGGATCTCCACTCAGCACCATTACATGATGTGCAGGCAGGTGCAAGATCTTCACAGAGCAGAGTGAAGAGAAGAAACTGTACATGCTTCTGTTAACTCCTTGGACTTTAATTAATTTCTAAATACTTCTAAATGAATGTTTCTTATATTCCTATATGAACAAGGCCTTGTTATTCACAGAGCAGAGTTATGCATATAAAGACTACCAGCTATTGGAAATGGTTCTGGTTTTCTTCAAATGCAGTAATTTTGCTTCTCTCAGCTCCACCTTTCCCTGGAAAAGGGGAAGTGTAAAATCTGGAATTAAATCAACCCCCCCTCTCGAATAAGTAGAGATAGTTCCCATAGATACCTGACAAGAATGACACCTCCTCAAGCAGACATCTTTCCTTTTAAAACAAGCTTGTGAATATGGTCCATCAGGTGTTGGCAACCATGGCCAAGCTCCACCATCACCCTCTAGAAGTCAGAATGTGACGCTACATATCAAACATGAAATCCTGACATGTCTCAGAAACAGCAGATCAGATCTCAGCTGCACGTACACAAGGGATGCATGGATAAAACAGCATTTAACTGACAAATGCTTTTCAGCCAAAAATCCATCTGCATGTATCAGGCTGTTGAAATCCCACATAATGGTCTGTGAAGTATCAATGCCAAAGGACTTATCTGAGGATCTCTCAGATATTTGCAAAGACAGGAAGGTGAGCTAAGCCACACTTTTGTGACGGCACCAAACATCTGACTGAGCCACACTCCAGGTCCCCTGACTCCTAGCATTTAATGTGCAGCTGCACACACATGTAAGCCCGCAGGCAACAGAGGGATGGGTTGGACTAATAACAGGCCGTACATGAAAGCCTGAACTTGCTCTTGGAGATGGACCATAAATAAAAGAATTGCACTCCATGTAATATGCTTCCCTTCTAATGAAAGATTAGTTGCTGCCAGTTCACGTAGCAGCTTCCAAAGCACCCCAGCACTGACCATCTTAGCTAAGACTGACCAAATCTTAGTGCAGACGCTATGTGCTGTAGTCACTGCCCCACATCCATGTGGCTATAAATCATCTCTTCCTAACAGCAACAGGGGTAATCAGTCCATCATCAAAGAACAGAAACAATGGATCTTTCCTGCCAGGGTCACTGCAGTGTCTGAGAAACACAAGAAACCTGAGCCAAAGCATCTGCAAGCTCTTGTGCATCCTGCTTCCCTGATTTGTTTCCTTGTCTGGATTTCATATGCACAATGAAATAAATCCCTCCCCAAGCCCCCAGCTCTTCCCAGAGACCGCAGCTGCCTAGATGCTTTGGAAAACATATTCAAGTAATAACAAGATCCACTTACGGTGAGGACATTAAAAGAGCCATGTGACTTTGCACAAGCAGATAGAAGAATAACAGTTTCTTACCTCCACACATCTGAGACAGGATAACAGACTGGAGAGCTCTATGAGGAGCCCCAGTACTTTGGGGATCTCCATCCCTCCTGTGCAAAGTGGGCAGAAGCTTCTTCAAGCATCACATTGCCGTTCAGCTGCCAGGCTCAGCTGCTGCCTCCTCCTCGGGCTCTGCAGCTGGGCTTCCCCGGGAGCAGGGCTCCGCACCCAACTGAGTGGGATGCCTCTTCCATTTCTGCGCAGGGAAAGGGATGCAGGGGAAGGGATCAAAGTTCCCAGCAGCATCTTAGAATTTCACTTTCCCCTGTCTCTCCCCATCTCTTCTCCTTGGTTATTCTCTTTGGAAAGGAGAAAAAGAGGGGAGAGAATAAGGGCGGAGAACATGCCCCTGGGTTTCTCTCGCACCTTAAATCCAGGAGGAGGCAAGCGCTGGCGGGTGGGGCGCAGCCCTCAGCCCGCTCTCCCCTCCCTCTCCAGGTCTGCGCTTCTCCCCGCTGCCAGCCCCCGCCCGGCTCCTGGGCCGGCCGCGCTCCTCTCCCTTCCCTCCCGAGGCACGGAGACTGCGGGGACGCGGGGCTGTGTCCTCCTGCAGAACCGCCGACAGCCGAGCTGGAGAAGGAAGCTGCTTGTGCGCGCACACTTGCCAGAGATTAGACTTGCTGGAAGGAATCTGGACTTTATCCCCCCACCGCTGCCTCCTCGATTAGCTCCCTGCAGCTTCCCCAGGTCAAACTCTCCTCTGGTTTGACCCAGGTAAACGGGACCCGGAAAACTTTACCTGAAGCAGCTTCCAGCTCTCCCCATGCAAAACTCACAGGCGGCACAGCCCTCCGTGGCGCATTCCCAGTTTTCAGCCCTGCATCCTACCATCGCTTCCCTAGGTCTTTTTCAAGTGTCTCCTTGACCTTGGGCTGTAAAGTTATTTTCACTTGACTGGCTGGGATGCTTTCCAGAGGGTTGATCATTACTGTACTGTTACAAACAATCCTATGGGATTTTTTAGTGTTTTAAGCTTACTGTTCCTCCATGTGAATTAGGGTTAGAGTGTAACAACGGAAGTTTCAAACATTATTAAATCTAAGGAAGGTACATTTAAAGCTGTTCAATCTTGAGTCTTTTTTAACAAGTTCCCCCTGCAGCTCCTCAGCTCAGTTTAACAGGAATTACCTATTTATACTCTGATTTCGGAAGGATTAACTCCTGGTTTTCTGCAGCATGAAACAAGGTCACCTCAAGAAATGAGCTCACTCCTGGCCAAGTCTGCTGAGCAGCATTTCCAAACACACGTTCAGCATAAAAACAAGGAACAGGCTGATAGAAATCTATTGGCTTCACAAGAAGCCTCTTTTCTAATTCCCTCACTTATTGCTCATTACTCACTTCAGATGACAGTTTTGAGTTGCCTCATCCTCAGATGCTCATCAAAGGCAAAGAAATTCCACTCCATGCTGGATCTCTTACAGTAGTTGCTGAGTGACAGGAGGGAGCCCTTTCTGGAGTGGATTTGTACCACAGTGCATTCTGGACACAGTGGATTTGGCCAAGAACTGCACTCAGTTAATTAGGAGCAAATCTCCTATATCCTCGTAGTGAGGGAGGCAGATGATCAGGGCAACAGAGGATGGAAATAGCTTAGATGCTGCAGCATGCTGATGCTCTCAAGCAGCACTGGCAAAAAAAGGAGCAAAACAAAAATATAGGAATGTGTTGGAATTTAGAACCACTTACTCCAGTGAAAACACAAGGAAAGGATATACTAGGAGGCAGGAACAGAAATATCTACTAAGGTTCTGAGAAATCTGCTCCTTAGTCAGGAGCAGAGAGGCTGATGATGCTCCTTCAGAACTCCTGTAAGACGCTCACCTATTTAGCCCTCTGATACATGCTAAGAGGGTTTAAAACCTCTAGCAAAAGCCTGTACTGGATTTCTTTCACAGTAGCTTGGAAGTTACTTCCCTTTCAGGGCAACCTGAATCACTAGATAAGGTTATTTCCTAGGTGAAGTGATTTTAAAGGAAACACAGAGTGGCACACACCAAAAGCAACAGAAGTTTGAGTCTGGTATTCGGTTTCTGTAGAAATGACAACCTGTGCAAAGATACATAGTGGGTGTTGGAAGTTTGCTCTTCTGTGGCAGGTCCTCTTTTGGAACTATTTTCTTCTTGCCAAGACTCCCTCCTGGTTTTCTGGCAGTGACATTTCCTTGAGAGAGGTGGATCTCAGATTCTCAAAAGCTTCTCACAGGTATGTGGCCATATCCAAGATAGAAAGGAAGACCAAGGAGGAAACGATACCAATATAACTACAGCAGTTTAGATAGGTAACATATCTAAAGATAAGGTAAACCAGATCTTGAACTATCTTGTGTGGGCAAGTCTGAAGTAGTTGTAAATACTCAAGTTCATATAACCCACAAATAACCTTCTCGCCCTGCTATAAACACAGGTCTGTAATAGTTTATGATTACCTAAAGACTCTTTCCATCTAGATTTTTTCAGATTATTCTGTATGGACCCTCCTGAAGTACCACCTTCTAAAATGTTCTAGCTCTCTGGAACTCAACCTATTTCTCCTGAACTGGCAGGACTACTATTTGTCAAGACCAACTGAAATATCAGTGCTTCCTCCATAAGAGTTCTTCAGTGAAAGCCTAAAAAGAGAGGTAGTCAACAGCAATCATACCCAGAGCTGGTATAGTACTCAAGCTATAAGGAACAGAAATAAGATCAAGGAATTCCAGCAGATTTTCTTAAATCCTGCAAATCCGACTTAGGAGGGTAGAACAGCTAGTCAGCTTTTCTTTAATTCTTTCCCCACCATGCAGCCACATACAGGTCTCTGCAGCAATGTTCTTAACCAGGTGGGCTCAGCATCAGAACCCGGTTTTCTTTTATTCTCCAGCAACAACACGGGGTGGTACAAGCCCTGAACTCAGAGAGGACAGGGCCAGTTGGCTGCGGTTACACACATCAGCTATTAATGGAATGATCCCCAATATCGGTGTGTGACAGAATGCATATGAATACGCAATGCAAGCTTAACAGTGAGGTGGAGGAAACGGCAGCAGCTCAAATTGCCAAGGACAATCAGTAGCTGTTTTCTTGGTTATAGCATGGGATCCTGAGCCAAAAGAACTGCTAGAGTACTTTTAAAAAGAAGCAGTGTAAAAGCTGTGTGCATCTGAAAAGCATTTTCTTTCCTTCCTTCTTCCTCCAAATAAATGCATTCCTTAAAGGAGTGGAAAGCCTTAGCATAGTAATTTCAAGCTTATAGTAGGCATGTAAAAGGTCAGAAAAAAACCCAAACAACTGAGCTTGTGAGGCTCACTGTGAATCAGAAAAACCTAAAAATAGCTGTCCAGATTAGTGGGAGTCACACAAAATTTCAAAAGTAGAAACAACAAGAAAGAATTAGTTTCACTGTTACAGCCTCTTACACAATGAGATAGTTCTTCACAGACACTGGAGTTTGGTATTCAGCACAGCCACTAGCTTAAGAGGTGCCAAACTGTACTTGCATTGTTAAGTTTTAACACAAAGAAAGGAAAACCATCATCAACAGAAGTGAATTTAGAAATTGATTTCTCACTCTCCCAGCTTAGCTTGTCTTCTTCAGAAACAAAGAATCAGCAAAGTAGATCTTTTCAGAGAGCGTCTTTTGGACTGAAAATGCAAAATGTCATAGAACCAAAGTGTTATCCCAAACACAGATGTGGACATCATGTTCTTACTCACCCCAAGTCCTCTGAAAGACCTTATTCTGTTGTTGACATAATAGCAACAACAGAATAAGGTACCCTATGGGATAATCCACTAATGAGCCATTGTAAGTAACAAACAAATGAAAACTGCTTCAATAACCATAAAGCATACTCTTGCCCAGTATTTATGTTATGAAGAAGTACTGGCCTGGGCCTCCAGAGAAGTCAGATCCATCTCCACGCAAACCCGACAGTCACATGTTGGTGATCACAGAGTCTGTGTGTGCCAGACTTCCCTCTTTGCTTTTAATTTATACCCCAGAGAACTACCGATATAAATGGTTATATCTCTGAGGTACTGCATTTTTCTTACCAATTAGGTACTGGTACTAAAACAACAGGGACCTGCCTGCTGTTTTGCGGTACTCTAGTGAACAAAGAAACAACAACCACCCCACCCCCAAACCACTGAAAACTAGTGATTACATTGTTTCAGTATCAGTCTGAGCATGAATTGTCTCCCCCCCTTTTAGTTTTTTTTCACCCAAACAATGGGACATTTTGTTCTAGATTATGAGCTGCCCAGGCCAAAAGACAGTTTTTCATTCTTTTATTATGGTACAGATGTAATTGATCTGACATGGCACCATACCTGTCCCACCTGTTAATCAGAGGGCCTAAATCACAAGCCCCTATGTTAAAAAAGTTACATATAATCCTTACCAATGTATTGTGTATTAACAAGGTATTTTGATGGGGAGTTCTTCCTCATTCTACAGCCTTCTTGTACAGCAACAGGAATTAAAAACATCTCAAGAGGAACCAAACTGTGTATACATACACATAGGAGTACAAGTCATGAAATGACTATCAAGTTCAAGTTGGCTCAATGTCTGGGCCTGAGCACTTTTTGACAGCAGTTCAGCAGTTAGGCAGGAAGCTTGTGCATGAGAAAAAGTAACTCCCTAACTGTTAGAAAAGGCATCTGCATGTATTCCTAGAAGATTTAATTTCACAGTGAGGACCTGATTCCACACTTGACTAGTTTAACAACATCCTGCAGAAATCGTAAGACAGCAAGACCCAAAAACCTCAGGAACAAAGTCAGCTGATGCTCAGGACATGTGTTTTTTACTCTAAAAACAAAAGCGAGGTCAAGAACCACACCTCAGTGCTGAAAGATACTGCCTGACATCCAGTCTACTTTTCACCAAAGTCTCCAATTGCAATTGCTTGTCTGCAGTTCCTTTAGTAAAGCACATTATACATAACGTGTGATCTGAGGAAACCTCCTCAGGAGCTTGTTTACTTTGCTTGAAGGCATGTTTCCCTGGAGTGAGAAGGTGTCCTCGTTTAGATTCTTGCGCTCCTTCTGAAAGACAGAAAAAAAGCTCAAAATATTACTTCTTTTTATTTGCAGAGTTGATGCTCACCCTCAAAGACTAATATTGATCGTACTAGGACGTTTCATTCAGAGGAATGCTATTTCTTCAAGGAACATTTACAACAAGACTTGACTCAATAATCATGAGGCTTTCAAAAGCCTGATGACCTTTCAATGATGTAATTAATGACTGACATCTTGTAAGGATGGTATCTGCCCAGGGAAGTTGTGGCTGCCCCATCCTTGGCAGTGTCCAAGGCCAGGCTGGATGGAGTTTTGAGCAACCTGGTCTAGTGGAAGGTGTACCTGTCTGTGGCAGGGGGGTTAGAACTATATGATCTTTAAGGTCCCTTCCAACAAACCATTCTGTGATTCTGAGATATTCCTCTGTATACTCAGTTAACGATATTATAAACTCAGTAACAACTCAGATTTTTTTTTTTTCACTGTTACTCAATTTGATTCTATCTACCAAATAAACTATAGACAGCTTTTCCTTTATGCTGTCAAACAGCAACAGTAAAGACCTATTAAATGATGGTACTGTTACTGAAAAAAAAAAATAATAATTGAAACCTGAAATCACTTTAAGGACAAGTTCAGTACATATACTTACCTTTAGTCTGCTTTTGAAACTGACCTGATACCAAGTTTGCCATATAGCTGGAAACCTCTAACTTCCACAGAATGTGAAATCTATCTATTTTTCATGAAAATATCTAGCCTTCATAATCAGAAACAGCCTAAAAGAACTCTTCATTTTCAGAGAATCAAGAATAGCTGTAACTGCCTCATGCACCCTGAAAATTCCATTTGTCATGAGGATTACTGAAACCACTGGTTATTTCTCTACCACCTTGTCTCCAACCTCCCTCCCTGCATTATTTAAATATTTATGACAAACTGGAGTCTGGGAATCCTAACTTACCTAACTCACTTTCTCCCATTGTCAGATAATGCAGGTACTGGATTGGTACCAGAGTCAGCTATTTCTTTATGAATCTGAGCAATTGCGAACTTACGCTGTACATCTCCCAAATTACAGCATAATCCACATCCCTCACCGTACAAATCACTGTTCTACTTAACAGCTCCAAGTTGTATTCTCCCTCATTCAGAACTATCATGTACTATGGAGAAGTGCAGTGACTGCTATTGTTTCCTTAATGCTGAATCATAGAATAGTCAGGGTTGGAAAGGACCTGAAGATCATCTAGTTCCAACCCCCTGCCATGGGCAGGGACACCTCACACTAAACCATGTCACCCAAGGCTTCGTCCAACCTGGCCTTGAACACTGCCAGGGATGGAGCGCTCACAGCTTCCCTGGGCAACCCATTCCAGTGCCTCACCACCCTCACAGTAAAGAACTTCTTCCTTATATCCAGTCTAAACTTCCCCTGTTTAAATTTTAACCCATTACCCCTTGTCCTATCACTACAATCCCTAATGAAGAGTCCTCCCCAGCATCCTTATAAGCCCCCTTCAGATACTGGAAGGCTGCTATAAGGTCTCCATGCAGCCTTCTCTTCTCCAGGCTGAACAGCCCCAACTTTCTCAGCCTATCTTCGTATCGGAGGTGCTCCAGCCCCCTGATCATTCTTGTGGCTCTCCTCTGGACTTGTTTTATGTTGAGGACACCAGAACTACACAGTATTCCAAGTGAGGTCTCTTCAGAGACTAAAAGCCACAAGAAATCAAAAGAAATAGCCCAGGTTAGGGTCAACTAACAGCAACTAATCTCAACTTCCAAGAATTTGACAACACAAAAAGGACTGGATGCGACTATTGTTTCACCCTCAGTTATAATATACCAAAGACCTAGTCCCTTCCTAAGGTCCTTATTCTGTTCAAATTTAATTTAACTTCTGCATTCAAAAAAAGAAGGGCTGCATGTTTGAGCTACATCATTCTGTATCTCTCCTACAACACAAATCAAATTCTTTGGACAACATTATTACTGTTGGCATGATTGGGGGCTTCCTCCTACTCTACTAATAACCTTTAAGAACACAAAAGAGGCCTTAATTACTTCTGCCTTTGCCACGCAGTCATAGAACATCCGGATCTCCTCGGCACAGGCTGCGTCATTGAAGTCATTCTTTTTCCAGCAGGCCATCATTACTGACATCTCCGTAATACATGTTGCTTCTGGAAGTGAAACACACAACCCAAAATCTCAAGTCTTTGGGATTCCATGCAAAACGCCTCCACGGGCCTTGGATTTCCAGAGAGAGGTTTAAGACAGCATAGAGACAGGTAAGGAAAAACAACACTAAAGCAAAGATGCGTTGTGTAAAGATGTTGAGAGCACGAAGATCAGTAGTAGCATTGCAGTCATCTAACATCTGATTGAATTCTTAAAGGAAATGCTATGTCGAGATGTAACGAAGTATTTTACGTGTGATTCACACAAAGGGCACCACAAGATGCAAACGTGGGGCTGCTGTGTGAGAAAGCAATCTTTAATGCCATGGCACGAATCAGACCTTCCCCTCTGCTGCCCTGCAAAGCACAAAGCACTTAGCTCGACTCATCCCCGACACCACGGCGGTCCTTCCCTGGGTAAAGCCACGGGAGAGCGGCGGGACAGCTCCCGGGGACACCGCGGGTACACCGGCAGCAGCTCTTCCCCACAGGGGCTGGAAGCCCGGCCGCTTCTCTCCGGGAAGGGGACATTTAGCAGCCTGGCGTCGGGAACTCACCTCCCGCCTTCTCCTTGCGGTTCGCCACCTTGTCGGCCAGCACCAGCGGCCGGGTCGGGCGGAGCACCGGGGGCCGCTTCTTCTGCCGCCACTGCCCGGAGACCCAGCGGGTGACCCAGGCCGGGTACACGGGAGCCGCCATGCTTCGTGCCACGGGCCGAGCGCATGCGCGACGCGACGCAGTCTCCGCGCCGTGGCGCCGCCTTGCGGGGCGGACGTCCCCGGCGGGAAACGCGGTCGCATCGGTCCGGTTGTGGTGCAATCCCGTCCTTCCTGGCCATCGCATGCGTAATAAGAATGCACATATTATAATTAGTTAATGAGAAAACTATGAATATGCATGAATATGCTAACCATACGGCCGCTGTCGGCAGGTAACGGGAGCGCTCACCTTTGCGCCCAGCGCTGCAACAAAGAGTGCTGCTTTCTAAAACTCCAAACTGAGACAGTTTCTCCGAGTGACTTTCATGGTTACACCCCCAAACCGTTTCTGCATCAAACCCAACCAAATGAAGGTGCAGGCATGCCTCTTAAACACAGCAAAATAAGTTGTGAATGCTGCAAGTAATTCAAATGCAACCTAAGGAATTATTTTGCTACTCTGACAACTTTTTTTGGTGCTTGAAACTCAGCATCGCTTCCCCCTCAGCTGTTCATCTCCATTACATACCAACAGCTGGATCTCCCCTGCATTATTCCTGCTATCTAACAACGAGATACTGAAACTGCTGCTTCTGAAATGGTAGTGGTGTTCTCACAGCCTCGTACTTAGTACTGGAGAATCCTCTCATTCCTGGAAGTTTCTTTCCATCTGTAAGATTTAAATCTCTGGAAGTCCTCAACTCTCCTGGCTGGCTCTGGAGCTGATATACTCCCAGTTTATGGAGGTAGATAATACAAAAGGCATGGTAACATTTCAAGGGCTGGGGCACAGATTACTGCACAGGATGAAGGACAAGGCAAGATGTAGGTAACTGAGGAATTAGACATTGGACACTGAGGCCCTAAAATACTCTGACACTTGTCATGTAGCAGTCACTGAACAACTCATCTTACCACCATACTGGGGCTCCTTCAGGCACCAACAGTTACCCCTGAGCACTGGAGGGCATGCAAAGTACCAGTTTTCTTCCACAGGAATAGTTACAAGTTTGGCCTCTAACCATGAGCAGCTGGCCAAAACAAAGATGCTGGGAACAAATTTTTCTGCACAGGACATTACTTTGGATGAAAATATATTCACAACTTCCTAGATAGAGACATAAACCCCAAGGCACTCCCCTTGCCTCTGCCTAAGTCAGGGAAGGTAACAATACATTGGAAGTTCCCTTACATTGAGCTAAACATCAGCACAATATTCTCAGTATCGTTACTAGAACTTACTGCATCTGCAGACAATATATGCTGGTATGTCTGATTCTAGAATTATTTTTGTGTTATTTTTAAAATGGAATTCTCTTAAAAGTCCAAGAACAATAACTAGGAAAGGTGAAAATACTGGGACGTAAAAGAAACTGAACTGTACTCCCCGTAAATCAACCTCCCTTTTTCCAAATTACATTAGCTAATGGCAGCAACACCTTCAGGCACATTCACCTTCAAAAGCTGATGTCTCTTTTAAGTAATTCCAAGAAAGAAGGGGGAAGAGGAGGGGCAGCTGAGAAAGGCAAGCAACACAAGGAGAATTCTGGTAGCTTCCTGTCCGTTACTGCTGTCTGCATTAGAAACTCTTTTTGGCATTGAGCCTGGGATTGGAGCACCAGCCTAAAATATTCCCAAGCAGACAGAATAAGGTATGTAATGGTGTCTGCACACACCATGCAGAACGTGGAACTACAGAAGAGGTGTATTACTATATATCCGGGTCTCTCCATTAACCTGCATTTTATATAGCTGATAGCACAGAGACGCTAATGGATGAGACAGAAGTGCTGACTTTACAGGTACAGTCAGGAACCCAGGTCCCTCAACACACAGAGCAGTGAACCCCACAGATGTTTCATTGGGAATCTTGAATGTACAACTACAAAAACCATGTAAAATTCTAACTGTATTTAGAACTTCTTTACTTGCATCAGCATACTTAAAGCTGAATTGTAGCCTGTGTTTCAGCTAGTCAAAACCAAAATGAACCACAGAGAAAAACTATTAGTATTAGGTTTGAAAAGAACCTGTATTACAACTGGTATAAGGGCCAATTATGATGTTACGACACAGTTAAATACAATGCTAACAATGCTGTAATAAAATACACAATTAAAATAAGACTGTTGCTTGAAATACCTCTTTAAGAGGTTTCAGACTTACTCCTGTCTGCTGAGCAATTGTGTTTGAACAGTATTAGCACTTCATGCACTTATTAGCACAAATGCATTCATTTATATTCATAGCACAGTGACAGCTGCAATTGCTCTTCTGATGTCAGCCCCAAGCCCCAATGCTAGCCTACCTTATCCTCAGCTATCTCAATCAGATCAGCCACCCTGCATTATTCTGTCCACCTGACTAGCTCTGAGCTGCCATCCCTAATCCCTAACTCCCAGATCTACTCAAATCCAGCCCAGTTCCACTGCAAATTACCTGAAGCCTCCTTATTTGCTCAGAGATGCCACAAAGTATCACGATCTGCTCTGATCCATTCCCAAATACCCAGAATCATCTCTAGCTGAGACACTTCAGCATTAGATGGGGCTTTTCTGCAAGAAAGAATGTACGTAACAGCATACAAATTAAGATGCCAGTCATGTCAGAGCTCTGGAACAAATCCTGCAGCTCCATTCTTCTCCACCCTCCCTAGTCCCCCTGCAGGGTCATATATCTCTCAGTGCCAGCTCCAAGATACTGAATCATGAGATTGTTAAAGCCTGACATAGGCTTTGGCTCAGCTGGTCATATCACTAAAAGGATTTTGTCTCTGATTAATTTTAGCCTGTCAGTAGAGGTCTCTGGGCAGAATGAAGGAACCTGCCACCCTGTATATTTCTCATTAATACAACTTCTCAGAAAGCACCTGGAGAGCCATCAACAATCTTAATTAAATCCAACTAAATTGATGACAATGAATCATTAAGGGAGTGCTCTCTTGGGACAATGGCTGAAGAGTACACATGAAAGGATGGTAAGGGAGGCAGATGGCTGCTTGTCTAGCATGGCAAAGCCTGTCTAAACAGTGATGTCCCTGGTTGGCTGTGCTTCAATTCAATTTATCCTGTTCCCAGTCCTTTAGGAGTTACTTGTTCTTCCACACCAGTTAAAACTACCCTTTGCCAAGGTGCAAGATGGGCATTTCTGCTGTGATTTTCCAGCTGCTGCACTTTTCAGTCCATTTCCAGGGAAAGAATCTCATTCTCCTTTTCCCTCTAAACACACACACATCCACTGTTGGTTGGCTTTCATTCTACTTACCATCATAGAGTACCCAGAGATCCTTCAGTCTGAAAATTACTACAGTGACAGAAATAAGAAAAGGCAATTATTTTTCAGTTCTAGAAATTATCAATGTTAGGTATCAAATCAATATTCTTCAGTGAGGTTACGCGCTTCCTAGAAATTGCAGTCCTTGCTAAAGGGCAGAAAACACAAAGAACTAATTCAGTATATAAAATACCCAGCTTCTTACTGAAAATTAGGCAGCACCTGGTATCACAGTTTCGTCAGGAGAATGAGAACTTCAGCTTGTCCAACGTAATGAACTGGATTGCTAGATTTTTAACCTTTTGTCAGCCATTTGTTTCTCCTCTCTCACATCTCAGAAGGCATAAACTTAGGTGGTCAAGACAATTCTGAGACACAGTATCAGTAGAATCTACTAGTGTTTCATATGAGCAGTAGTAAGGAGATACCTATTTTTAGAACATTAATGCCAGTGAATAAAGCTATCCTGACAGCTTTGAAAACCTCCCTCATACAGTAAACAGGCAAAATGAAAGACAAGCAGCGAAGTGACTCACCCCAGTTAGTAGAAGCCTACCTAGAAGGTTTATAGAGATGATCTTGTTATCATCCGCAGTATTTGGCATCTTTGCTAAAATTCAGGATTAGTCGCAGTTGTGTGTTTTTATGAGTATGGGCACCTGCACTGTAAGAATTTAATTCAGGAGGATATTGTATACACTGTTCATTCCGAGTATCATGTAATCTGGAAGGTAGTCACAACATAAGTGACAACATTCAGCCACCACCTAGCTGGTTTGGATTTCAAGCAGTGAAGTGAGAAATCAAATTAGCAGTCCAGATCAGAAATCTTTAGCCTTTTTCCAAAATATTAATAGTTGCTGCAGTGACCTTTCTCCTTGTCTGCATTCACATATTCACTTGGATTAGCAGAAAGACAACTAAAACACAACTAAGATCATAAAATGAATCAAGAGAATCTGAAGTAACTGGAGGCATTAATTCAGGCCATTTATTTAAATATAATTAAACTGCTCAGTAGAAGTGGACATTCACTACTAAAGTAGCCTTAATTTGTTTTATCTTAATTTACTTCTCAAGCACATTGTGGCCACTTCCATCCTGAATACACATACCTGAAATCTTAACCAGATTTGAGTAATCCACTTTAACAATTGATTCAGATACATTCCCTTCAGTATTCATGTCTCCTGGGTAAATGGAATAAAGAAAAAAGGAATTTAAACTGATGAATGCATTTTAGCTGAAGAACAATTTGTTACTATTATTACAGAAGAGAGATTAAAAAAGCATTTTTCTCCGAATGAAACACTGGATGAGATTGTATAGCATATGCATTTTCTACATTTACAATAATACAGTGACAGCTATGGGTCTGAAGTCTCCTCTGTCAAGATGCTCTAACATGACAGTACTGTTATTACCTGAAAGACAAACACTGAGATGCATATTATTACCTATATGGGTGTAACACCTAAAATATTTTATCTACAACATTATCACTGGGAATTTGAGGGATGAAAAAAAAAAAGAGATTAAGTGATCTATCCATCAGCTAAGCAATAGTGACTTAATCAGGGACAGAATGTAGATTTGGTCCCGTTCCTAATTTTCACTAACAAGCTTCAGACTTCCCATAGCCATGTGTGAGCTGCCCTACAAAATGAAACTACCCCACAGGCTCTAGGTTTGCCATACCAACATTCTGTTTTAGGCATGGATAAACTGTGACTGTTTAATCAGT